AAAGATTTTATTAATTAATTTTTCTTTTTTCATTTAGTGGGCATTATTAGTAATTTTTTTCATGTTTCTTACGATTATTATTCCGATGATTGTTACACATATACTTCTTGACCGTAATCGACAGATGTATATTAACTCTCATTGGTAAATTTCTTTGTTTTATTTTTAATATTATCATTATATTTAATTTTTTTTTTCATGTGTTTTAAAGTAAAGCGGATATATGGCTTGTACGTATATTAGTTCATAATGGTTTTGCTGTTTATGGAACATGGTTATATCTTGCAACATTACTTAATTTAACTATTTGGATATCTCAAATATATAGTAGAAATGCACAATCAATAGCTAATGCATCAACAGCTGCACTTAGTCTTGTACTTGTTGGTATTGTAATTTATTTTATTAGTGAGAATTTTATATTTTATTCATCAATGGCATATACATATTTACCATGGTTTGTTCTTATATTTGGATTATCTGGTGTTGTATCAAAAAATTATAATCAAATAAATATTACAGATAAAAATAAAACATTTTCACTTGCATTACTTATTATTTGTGGAGTATTGTTTATTGTTCGTGTTATAATATTTGCTATACGTTACGTAAAAGGTGTAATTCCAACTATTCATGATCCTTAAAAATAGAAATGAACATCTATTGTTTTTCTTCTTTTTTTTTTTTTTCGAATTGAATATTCTAGATTTGTCACACTGTGTACTTATTTAAAAAATAAAAATGAAAAACAAAACAAAAAAAGAAAAGAATTATTCTTAAGAAGTATACAAAAAAGACGAGAGAATATTTTACAAGGGCGTATGATCAAACGATTCTGCTTGTTCAATTTTATCACGTCGTTTCTTTAATTTGATTTTTAATGAACGACTTAATGAATCATCAGGTCGTAAAGAAAAATTATCTAAAATATATTATTACTTATAAAAAAAACCAAAAAGACAAAGAATTTTTTTATTTTACCATCAGCATCATTTATTGTGCTTGCTTTAAGAGAACTTAACACACTATTATTTAAATGTGGTGACCTTTCAGACATATCTACAGTTCGATGCTAGAAAAAAACAAGAAATTTTAAAATCTAAGTAATAAATATCAATAAGAAAAAAACAACAAATCTTACACCAGCTAATTGTTTTTGCTGTGAAAGTAATGCATAAACTCTAGCTGATTCATGTTCATTTGTAAATTGATCAAGTGTACTTTTAGTTAATTGAAATAATTCTTCACCATTCATACCTTGTAAATTTCGAGTAAGTCTTAAAAATATAGATTAGATTTGCAGAATATTTTTATTATAAAAGGAAAAAAAAGAAAATTTACTCAGATGAAATATGTTTTGATGCTAACCATCGTTGAACATCTTCTATTGATGAATTTGGACTTATAAAACCAATTCGATCTGTTAAACGTTGTGTTAATTCTTGTTGTAATACATCCACTTGTGGAGTAGCTTATACGAAAAGAAAAAAAACACAAAACATAAGAAGGTCAATCCAATTTCAATTTAAATAATTATCATATGTTGAGTAACATACTTTGATTTCTCAAGATATTGCTATGAGTATCTCGAAATAAGCATCAGAATAGCCGAAATTTCAGACTCAAAGTCTGTGAATAAATAACAAAGTTGTTTCTTTTTCAAATCACACAATTCCTTTGTATTACTGTTACATAGCACGATCTGCATATGGATATGAGAAGTATTTTGCAATTAAACTAATGCCAGCATTGTCTACTTCCAACAATTAATACTAACTTATAAATAATAACGATAACTAGTGCACCTATTATTTCGTTCTATTATTATTCTGTCAAGGTGTGATTATGATTATAATATAACGATCAGTATACTGCTTTTTTTGTAAAGATAGAATTGATAATTATCAAAAGCAACCTAATGATGATAGACTATGTCAGAAAAAATGATCGATAGCATTTCTCGTCTCTGATCATCTATAGCTTATACTTATTATACTGATCGAAGTGAAAAGAAAGCTGTTTTGATTTTTGTTTTCTGGGAAACTTACACAAATTTGTATTTGAACGAGAACGTCCTTTTCTACCACTTTCTGGTAATTGTAATGTTGACCATGCTGATGATGGACTAGTTAAGAATTGTGTTGGCATTGGTGGTGGTAATGGAATAGATAATGGAGGAGGAGGAGGAGGAGGTGGAGGTGAAGGAACAAGTGGTGAAGAAGAAACTGATAGTGAAAATGTTTGTTGCAATAATTGATCTCTGGATAGTGCCGGATTTGTATATGTGCTGGTATTTGATTGCATAATAAAATTATTTCCATAGGATGGTGAACGAATAAGATGCTGAGTATAATCGTTGGCATTACGTTGATGATATCCATTGAGATGAGTATGTCCTCGATTAGGTACACTCGATGAACGTGGGATAACGACTAAAGTATATATAAAGAGACATTGTATATATTTTCTTTTCTTTTATCTATGAGAATTATGATCAGTATTTTTGTCTACAGTGCAGAGAGAATTTATGTGCATGTGTGTAAAAAAAAAAAACTGCAGCAATAAGACAAAAGCTTATGTATGTGTGTGTGTGTTTTATTATCTCTCACTCACTCACATATGGTTTATTCGTGTTTTAACATGATGACGATTGAAGACTTTCGAAAAACAAAGAAAAATATGAATGAGCAAAGATTAATAAATACAACAGCAAAAGGAAAAAACTCGAGAATAATTAAAAACAAATAAACATAATGAAACTCGAAAGATATGATTACATAAACAATTTATTATATTTTTGGTTAAAACAAATAAGAATATACATTGAAGAGAAAAAAAACAATTGCCCGTCAATATCCATATGGTTGGCTAAGTTTCGATAATATGAAATTGAGCAAACAAAACCAGCGATATCAGATGGTTACTATTGGTACAACATGCTCAATAACAATAGCATTATTGTTCTCGTTCTCCTCCGATAGATAGACAAAAAAAAAAAGAAACATGAACGTACATAGAATGATAAAGACAAGAAAATTCTATGCATATACGTACAAAGAAAATGATTGCAACAATTGATGAAACTGATATGTTATGCGTGCAGCTATTCAGTATAAAATGAAAGATACTGTTTTGCACAAACGCATGAACTATTTAAGAGAAAAAACAGCTGAAGAAAAGAACAAATGAAACTATATAGTTATTATTTTTTTTGGTAATCTCACTATTTGAATTTATTCTTGTGATCACTATTGATGACCTAAAATGAGTGATATGATACACTCGCTTATATTTTCTATTCTAGATTAAAAGAATAAGTTGGACTAAAAATACACACACACATCATACGTGTACGGATGAACACAATAAAGAAACATAGAAGTGAGAGTGTATAGTACACATGCAATGATTACAAGAAAAAAAGACAAATAAGAAGAAAAAAAGCGAACGAAGGTGAGGTAGTGTGAAGAGATAGTATAAGCTTGGCATTTAAATATTATATTATTTTGATCAGTTATGACGCGAACGATTATTTGCGTTTGTTAGAAGACGATGCGAATTTATACCTGACGTATTCGACGGTGTACTTTTCTATAATGAAAAATAAAAATAAAAATGCAAATTATATATTTTTTCAATAATAATAAATAAATAAATAATTTAAAAAGACATATGCAAATAAATTATTTATACATACAACTGGTATCAGTTCCGGGTCGATTTCTTCAACAATATTATGTGGTACATGACCAACATCACCCATAAAATTTCTTGCACGCCACCATTTCTTTGAACTATTTTCAATTTCAATTAATTCACCACGTCGTACAGTTAATTCTTTATTATTTTGTCCTTGACGATCAAATTTTACTACATAAATTCTTAATAAAAATAAAATATATTATTAAAATAATAGTAAATATAAAGCATTTACTTGGCTCCAACACGTTTTCTATCAATAGCCCAACCAAGTTCATTTTGCATATGTGCATTAAAATTTTCAGCTACACCAGTTTTATTTGAACGATCAACAGTTGATGTATCAAAATGTGCAGCTGGTGATGGTTGTCGAACAAATGTTGTATGATGATTCATTGATGAACCATTATTATTATTATTTTGATTTGGTTGCTAAATAAATAATGAAAAAGAAAAAAATTTTACTTGAAACTTAGAAAAAATCAATTCTTTATACTCGAGAAGAAGACCAAACTGATGGTTGATGTTCATCGATACTACGTGCTGATTGTAATGAATAATCATTAGGCGGTTCTTGAAACCATATTGGACGACCTTCATAAAATGTCGGTCGATAATCGACAACTTTTTGTGGTATTTCTTCACTAAACATTAAATAAAAATAATCGAAAATTTAACAATTTGTTGCTGCTTTTTTTTTGTACGATTTCTTACGCTGTTCGAATCCATGCTGAACCAAGATTCCATAGACTTTCCTGTTCTTGGGATGTTAAACAATTCATTAATAATTCTTTTGTTTCTCTTGTTAATGAAGGTGTCCATATATCGTATGCTAATTGTAATTGATTTGGATGTTTTGTACGTAATGTATATAAAATAAGCTGTAATGGTGATAGTAAATAATGAATTAATTCAGGTGCATTTGGACTATGTATTATATGTTTTAATTCACCTAAGAGATTAAACGAATGTTTAAATTTTTGTAATATATCAATAAAACATCTGTCATCAGGTAGTTTTTCAACCATTTGTTTTAAACCACCTTAACAAAAAAGAGAAGCAAAGAAAAATAATGATAAAAGTAATTATATCAAATTCAAAAAGAGTAAAATATCTACTTGATTTTTTATCCTTTCGTCGATAATCACGTTCTAACTCTTTGGTATATTCCATGGTTGCCTCAATACAACGTACAAATAATTCAATATCATCAAAACATTTATTTAATTCTTCTGTTAAATGTTTATAATAATCTGATGAAACCATAGTTGAATGTTGTTGAGCTATTGTACGTGATGAATGTTGAGGACCAACAACATATGTTGGATCTTTGAAATAATAAAAATAAACTGTTTAAAAACAAAATGTTATCAATCAATTCAACTCACTGTTCATTGGTAAAGGTTCATTTAAGAATTGTTGTGAATGATGAGGTGTTATTCCCTCAGTATCAATAAAACGACGATCACTTGCACTTCGAGTTTCTGATCGAGTACTAAAAATCCATAAAATGAAAAAAAAACAAAAATTGAATGAAAAACAAATCTATTCAAAAATACCTTCTAGAACTTATTAATGGCTTCCCAGTTGCACTTCGAATATTATCAACAAGAAGCTTCGATTCTTTATTTGAACATTTAAATACAATTGCATGTATCAAATCATTGCTATTTGAATTACTAGCTTGACTTGTTGTTGGTGCTATATGTCGATCCAATATACGATACATAAATATATCATTGAGTGTATCTTGTTCATCAGAATATACACATGTTGGATCAACATTTTCAAGTGGAATTGTTTCTGCAATAATCTACACATATAAATGCAAATTTCTTTATTGAAAAAATACGTAGAGCAAAAAGAAAATTTATATATTACTTGTGTTGCTCGATCAAATATGATAAAAAAACGATCAGCAACAAATAATGAACATGGTTTATTA